AACAGGCAAATAAAATATAAACTGAGGTTACAAAAGTGATTCAGTCAAGATCAGTGAGGGATTTTCTTTTCTTTCGTTCTTTAAATTAAAATTAATGACTGGCGGCAGCGGCTGCTGTCGATGCACGGATCCAATACACCGTTGTTTTCTTTCTCAGCTCTTTACGTTCACTTAAGACATAACCGATTGTATTCATGGTATATTTTGATATAATTCTGTGTGTATTTGTCCATTCGAATATGTAAGAATGCGACAGAGAGCTCAGTCCAGTGTTTGCGTATATAAGAGGCGGCTTTTGTGCGTGAGTTTTCGTCTGTTACCTGACTGTTGACATCGACATTGTGATACTTACGAGACATCGTCGATATATGATAATATCGTCATATTGCCCAGCCCTAAAACCTACAGAATTCAAGTGTGTGTCTCTGTGGTTATACCTCGCTGCAGGATGCCACTGCGCGGTGCAGAGGAGTCAGCCATTTATTGTCTTTGGCATTCACCCTCGCCCCTACATCACAAGCAAAACATGAATAACAGTATAACAATACATCAAAGCCACATCTGAAGACACCTGGAATCAAAGGGAGGAGATATGAGAAGCTTTAGAAAATTAGTTTCATTATGATGATTATTTACCCGATAAAATTAAGAGCTCTATAATTTCAGCATCTCCTAGGTAAGCAGCTGCATGCAGCGGTGTCCTTTTTTCATTGTCCTGAAAGAAATAAAGAGTTAATTTATTATTAACAGAACCAATTCAAAATATAAGGTGGATCAATTAAAAACCCAGCCGTGAAATTAAAAACAGTTTTTTTTAATCTTACTTGTACATTCACGTCCTCTTTCTGGAAAATGAGAGAGCGCACTTCATCTGGATCAACATTGAAAATAGCTTTTAGCAGGGCAGGCTGAAAGAAAGAGACACGCATATCAAATCACAAAATTGACAATGAGAAACATGGCCAAATCTGAATTGTGACATTTTATCAGTGTCCTGAGATGTGAACTTAAATGCAGTCTGATATCATGTTTGCCATAACTGGGTAAAACATGGTTGAATCTCTTTCCCGAAGACTCCCGACAGCAAACCGAAGCAACACCTTGAGGTAGTGTTGTCATGAGACTGCCTGTGTATTGCTTATGTAAGTGCATCCTCAACGGCCAGAGTGATTCGAAATAAAACTAGCCTCTGCCTTCTTGCTTTGTCTTTTTGAGCTGCAGTGCAAATTGACACTTGACTCTTTAATCACTCATCAATTTTCTTTCCCTAACCGTGTGGTCACACCGCCACCGGTGAGAGCGTCAAAGTGGCCGGAAGTCATTCATTTTCAATGTGAGCCGGTGGCAAGCTCTGGCGAGCAGCAGTGCGTCTTGGATGGTGTGGGCGTCGAAGAGAGTTGAAGTCAGGTCAACTTTATGGTAATGAGCTATGACGCGGTTGGGCGGCAACCAATCGGAATGTAGAAGTCCTCCGCTTGAGAGGATTCCAGAGAACGCAGTCATGTAAACTTTGGTTCCGACCACATTAGTTCCCAAGCAAGCAACACTATTTATAGGCAACGTTTTCGTGCTAGAATGCTTGCTTTTCAGCGGAAATGCAATTAATTTGCTCAAAACAACACTGATTTGACCAATTGCATTAAGGCTACACTTCAACCAGGACAGTTTGTAAAGTAGGCTGCACACAAATTAATGTTAACGTTAATTAAAGACCAAGGCTAGTAAATGTCTCCTATTAACTGCATGCTTAAATTAGACTAGCACTTAACCATGAACACAAATGGCTTTTAATTGGTTTATTTCATTAGCAAACATGTAACTATAAGTTATTTCCATCAATCAATTTCTTACTTTCACATTTAAAATATTTAATGAGGTTAACTTTTACCCTACTTGTGGTCAAGTCTGCACATGATCAACAAGCTCATTTTCTTTGCTAACCCTTTAAATAAAGTTTACAGTACCAAACATTCGATCTATGTCAGAGCGTCCACGAATCTTTCTACAGCGTTGTTGGCAGGGCAGCCAGAGCGATTTTGACGCTCTCGCAAGCGGCGGTGTGAACGCATGGTTACAATGACTTGCTTTCATTCAAGTAAACAAAATATTGTGTTTTAAAGGAGAGATTATAATAACGTTGAACTTTGTTTCTTTAATCACTATTTCGTCATAGAATTTCACAATTTGGATTCCAACTTTCCCACTATAATAAATAAATCTCTCAAAATATTGTTAAAAACAAGAAAAATAATAATTTGTTACTGAATGAATCCACGTTTATGACAAATCGAGTGCAGTGTTTCCCCTAGGTCCTATTGTTTTTTTCCGTTTAAATTTTCTGGACTCCTTTTTAATGGTTACATTAAATTTTATTATTCAAAAAACATGTCTAATTAATTAAAATGATGAAACCTAAACAATTTAACATCAATTTATCAAAAGTTTAACAAAAATTACATGTTTAGGGCCCTATGAAATGTTTTATTTTTTCCAACCTTATGTTTTATTGTTACCAAATTCTGTTTTAACATCTAATTATTTGAAAGCATAAAAATAGAAAAGGTAACTTTAAATGACTTCTGTTGTGATCTGGCGCTATGGAGAAAATAAAACGTAGTTAAATGAACTTGACCTTCAAGTTAGGGCCGCCCCCCTAATATAATGGCAGGGGAAACACTGGAGTGAGTCAATGATTCAATCAGTAGCCCATTCATAAAGACAGTCACTTGCCTCGTTTCTGAATGAATCAGCCGTTTGAATGAATCGGTTGAAAGAATGAATAAATGACTCACTCATTAGTCAAAACAAGTCATTTGCCGCCACTTACTGGTGGTTTGGTTTCATATTTAAAAGTATCGTTGCATTTTTCCCAACATTTCTTATTAGTATGTACAAAAAATAATTTAAAACAATCTTATAAAATGATTTATGCATTTGCAATTTTGCAGTGTAAATGCATTTATGGCACCTCAGCTTCATAAAACAGTCTGTGGTCTGTGTTTCCTCTGCAGTGGAAAGATGGAGTTTGTTGATACCGATTTCATTTAAATGATAACAACTCTACAGTTTCTTTTTATTCTAACTGAATTAATTGAAGCAATTTAAGAATTTGCTGTGAAAGATGACATTTAATGAGGTTAGGGGGGAAAAATTACCATTTATAAACATAGTGGAAATGACATCTGTTTTGTTATATACGGCAACTCATTTCTACCTCTTTCCAGTCACAGAGCACTTTATTTTGAGAGTTGTTTAAGTGAGAGAACTAGGGATGCTCCGATCGATCTCACAAACCGATCGCAATCTGATGATGTCAACGACGTTTGGTGCCACAGCCATGTCATCACCGGTGTGGAAATGCTATGACGTTTCGAGAAACAATGAAAAATTTGCTATTTGTCATGTATGTTTTGCATGATGATATGATGATTCATTTTTAACAGCAGATTCAGTGACGTTAGAGCTGATCTGCGCCTCACTGCACACATCTGCGTCGCGTTACGGCTCCACAGGAAGGCCGCTCTAGTCAGTGCTTGTGTTTATCAGCCAGCGGCGGCACGTTTCTGAAGCGGCTCTCCGCGCTGCTTGGCTAAAAATAGTCTTTTGTGAGGTGTCACAGCGTGACGGACGGAATAAAACCTCATCGGAGCCGTAAGGGATAACGTTAACATAATACGCTGATCGTGGGCTGCTTTTAAATGAACATTTATTTATAAAACAAAATATCTTCTTTGGCCATATTTGCAACTTCAGGCGAATGAACACACACACACGAAATCGTCTGGCTCATGAAAAAAAAAATGTAGTTAATATTTGCAACATTATCCGGATTATGTTTTAATATTTATTTATTAAAACATTATCCGCGGATATCCGCAGCACCTGTGGATATACGAAAAGCAAAATAAGTTTGCTGCGTAAATCAGACAGACTTACTGATGATGGACTTTTGCTTTAAAGCGGGAGAAACAGTTTTCCCCAGTAACGGCTGTACACAAAGCAGCGCTGAGCTCACAAACGCTGCTTTATCAGGCATATAACATGCAAGA